GTGAGTTTGAGTGTGTGGGCGGGAGGGAGGGTGAGGCGGGAGGGTGGTGAGGGTGGGATGAGAGAGTGTGGGCGGGAGGGAAGGGTGAGAGTGAGAGTGTGGGCGGGAGGGAAGGGTGAGTTCGAGAGTGTGGGCGGGAGGGAAGGGTGAGATTGAGAGTGTGGGCGGGAGGGAAGGGTGAGAGTGAGAGTGTGGGCGGAGTGAGAGTGTGGCGGGAGGGAAGGGCGGGAGGGAAGGGTGAGCGAGAGTGTGAGGGATGGGGTGAGGAGAGTGTGGGGCGGGAGGGAAGGGTGAGATTGAGAGTGTGGGCGGGAGGGAAGGGAGAGTTGAGAGTGTGGGCGGGAGGGAAGGGAGAGTTCGAGAGTGTGGGCGGAGGGAAGGGTGAGGAGAGTGTGGCGGGAGGGAAGGGTGAGATTGAGAGTGTGGGCGGGAGGGAAGGGTGAGATTGAGAGTGTGGGCGGGAGGGAAGGGAGAGTTCGAGAGTGTGGGCGGGAGGGAACGGGAGTGAGAGAGTGTGGGCGGAGGGAAGGGTGAGATGAGAGTGTGGGGCGGGAGGAAGGGTGTGAGAGTGTGGGCGGAGAGTGAGAGAGAGTGTGGGCGGGAGGGAAGGGTCGAGAGTGTGGCGGGAGGGAAGGGTGTGAGAGTGTGGGCGGGAGGGGGTGAGAGCGGGAGGAAGGGTGAGTTGAGAGTGTGGGCGGGAGGGAAGGGTGAGTTCGAGAGTGTGGGCGGGAGGGAAGGGTGTTGAGAGTGTGGGCGGGAGGGAAGGGTGAGATTGAGAGTGTGGGCGGGAGGGAAGGGTGAGAGAGAGTGTGGGCGGGAGGGAAGGGTGAGATCGAGAGTCGGGATTGAGGTGTGGGGCGGGAGGGAAGGGTGAGATGAGAGTGAGGGAAGGGTGAGAGTGAGAGTGTGGGCGGGAGGGAAGGGTGAGAGTGAGAGTGTGGGCGGGAGGGGGGGTGAGTTCGAGAGTGTGGGGCGGGAGGGAAGGGTGAGTTCGAGAGTGTGGGCGGAGGGAAGGGTGAGATTGAGAGTGTGGGCGGGAGGGAAAGGGTGAGTTGAGAGTGTGGGCGGGAGGGAAGGGTGAGTTCGAGAGTGTGGGCGGGAGGGAAGGGTGAGATCGGGAGTTGAGAGTGTGGGCGGGAGGGAAGGGTGAGATTGAGAGTGTGGGCGAGGGAAGGGTGAGTTGAGAGTGTGAGTTCGAGAGTGTGGGCGGGAGGGAAGGGTGAGATTGAGAGTGTGGGCGGGAGGGAAGGGTGAGTTGAGAGTGTGGGCGGGAGGGGAAGGGTGAGAGAGAGTGTGGGCGGGAGGGAAGGGTGAGATTGAGAGTGTGGGCGGGAGGGAAGGGTGAGATTGAGAGTGTGGGCGGAGGAGTGAGATTGAGAGTGTGGGCGGGAGGGAAGGGTGAGATTGAGAGTGTGGGCGGGAGGGAGGCGGGCGGCCGGAAGGGAGGGAGGGAGAGGGTGAGAGTGTGGGCGGGAGGGAAGGGTGAGAGAGTGTGGCGGAGGGAGGAGAGAGAGTGTGGGCGGGAGGGAAGGGTGAGATTGAGAGTGTGGGCGGGAGGGAAGGGTGAGTTTGAGAGTGTGGCGGGAGTGAGTCGGAGGGAAGGGTGAGTTGAGAGTGTGGGCGGGAGGGAAGGGGAGATTGAGAGTGTGGGCGGGAGGAAGGGTGAGATTGAGAGTGTGGGCGGGAGTTCGAGAGTGTGGCGGGAGGGAAGGGTGAGATTGAGAGTGTGGGCGGGAGGGAAGGGTGAGTGAGAGTGTGGGCGGGAGGGAAGGGTGAGATTGAGAGTGTGGGCGGGAGGAAGGGTGAGATTGAGAGTGTGGGCGGGAGGGAAGGGTGAGATTGAGAGTGTGGGCGGGAGGGAAGGGTGAGAGAGTGTGGGCGGGAGGGAAGGGTGAGTTGAGAGTGTGGGCGGGAGGGAAGGGTGAGAGTGAGAGTGTGGGCGGGAGGGAAGGGTGAGGAGAGTGTGGGCGGGAGGGAAGGTGAGATTGAGAGTGTGGGCGGGAGGGAGCGGGAGGGAAGGGTGAGATTGAGAGTGTGGGGGGAGGGAAGGGTGTGATGTGAGAGTGTGGGCGGGAGGGAAGGGTTGAGAGGGAAGGTGAGGAGAGTGTGGGCGAGGAGTGTGGGCGGGAGGGAAGGGTGAGATGAGAGTGTGGGCGGGAGGGAAGGGTGAGATTGAGAGTGTGGGCGGGAGGGAGGGTGAGATTGAGAGTGTGGGCGGGAGGGAAGGGTGAGATTGAGAGTGTGGGCGGAAGGGAGGGTGAGATTGAGAGTGTGGGCGGGAGGGAAGGGTGAGTTGAGAGTGTGGCGGGAGGGAGGGGTGAGGAGAGTGTGGGCGGGAGGGAAGGGTGAGTTCGAGAGTGTGGGCGGGAGGGAAGGTGAGATTGAGAGTGTGGGCGGGAGGGAAGGGTGAGGGCGGGAGAAGCGGGAGGGAAGGGACGAGTGAGGGAAGGCGGGAGGGAAGGGTGAGATTGTGTGGGCGGAGGGAAGGGTGAGTTGAGAGTGTGGGCGGGACGAGAGTGTGGGCGGGAGGAAGGGAGAGTTCGAGCGGAAGGGTGAGATTGAGAGTGTGGCGGGAGGGAAGTGTGAGAGTGAGAGTGTGGGCGGGAGGGAAGGGAGAGTTTGAGGGTTGTGGGCGTGGTAGAGGGTCGGGTTTTAAGGGGGAGGGGGGATTTGGGGGGGAGGGGGATTTTAAGGGGGGAAGTATTAAGGGAGGGAGATGGGAGATGGAGAGAATGAAGGGAGATGGAAGGGGGAAGAAGGAGGTGAAAGGGGAAGGGAAGAAAGAAAAGAAAATAGAACGTGATGGAGATTTGTTGTTTGTGGGAACTGTGTGTGGGGGGGGGGGGGAGGTATGTAATGTATGTGTACATATGTGTGCGTGTGTGCGTGTGTTCACAACTTCAAACAGAATAATTAATCAAAACCTTTATACTTCAAGAAACAAAAATAATAAAACATCTTCAAGTACAAGGAAAAAAAGAGAAGAAAAGTCATGAACCGCGCTATTCAAAGACAGAAAGAGAAAATGGCGAAGTTTCCCCTTCCTCACCTCCTGTCGGCCGAGAGGGACTTCGTGATCAAGGCCAAGGGCGGGGCGGAAGGCGCGGGGAAGTTCGGAAGGTCGGAATCCGTCGCAGACTTCCTCGCGGTCGCCGAACAAACTGGCGAAAGAGCGAGTTTATGAAGACACTCGAGGGAAATAATGGCCTGTTGGTGCTCCGTTTTCTATGAAGCGGTTGAGAAGGAAAACGTACGGTGCAGATTTGAAAAAAGAAAATGGTAAGGTGTCGCGTAAGAGCATAGAAGTTTAAGATGGGTATATTTACATATCAGATATGTCATATGTCAGATAGTGGTATTCATTTATACATATTTCGTATATGAGAAAAGAAGGATTGATAAAAGACACGCAGAAAACGGACCTAACAAATTGGGGAAAATTCTTACCTGCAGATGCAATATGGTAACGAATACCTTAGAAATATGGTTCAATAGATTTGAATAACGATAAGGATACGAAGAAAATGGAGAAAGAGAGGAAGAGAGAACTGTTTTCCTATAACGATAAGGATACAAAGAAAATGGAGGAAGAGAGAACTGTTTTCCTGAAAAAATCCTTGAGAGTTGCCAGGCTGAAGACTGACAGGGAGAGAGAGCCTCACCCGAGGGGACGGGGAGGCTCCCTCGGGGCAGAGCCTTCAGAGGCGGGGGCAGAGTGGTGTTCTCGTAGGGCGGCTCCTCGTGGATGTCCTCCAGCTCTCCGGCGTGACTGGTCCCGCTGGGTCTTCTGTCGACGTCCGGCGGCCCGCCCCCCGCGACGCCCGTGATGGAGGCCGACGAAGACGAAGATGAGGTAGACGAAGTGATGGAGGAGGGGGACGAGGGCGAGGGGTGGTGGAGGGGGTGGGGGGCATGAGGGAGGAGTGCGACGGCAGGATCGTCCTCGGTCTGGGCGTGACGGCGACGCTGACGACGGTGACGGGGGGGCAGGACGACGGCGCGGGGGACGAGGAGCAGGTGGAGGTGGAGGAGAAGGTGACGCTCGTGGTGACGGAGGAGGAGGAGGAGGAGGCGGAGCTGAAACCTATGGAGGAGGAGGAGGACGTGGTGGTGGTGACGGTGGTGGTGGTCGACGTGGCGGAGGTGGTGGAGGCCTCGGGCGGGACCGCCAGGTCGTCGTCGGAGGTGAGCACGGGCGTGTAGGTGACGGTGACGGGCGAGGACAGGCACACGGGCGGGGGCGGCGCCGTGGTGGTCGGGGGGCCTCCCAGGGGGGACGTGGGCGTCCCCTGCTGCTGTCGCTGGTACTGCTGCTGCGCCGTCGACTGGGCGGAGGAGCAGCTGGGCAGGCTGACGGAGGCGAAGGGCGCGGAGGAGGAGGAGGAGGACGAGGTGCAGGCGGGGTAGTGCGGGGGGAAGGGCGGGGCGGAGGGCGTGGGCGTGGTGGCGGGCGTCGACGTGGGCGAGGACGACGAGGACGACAGGGAAGGGTTCGACCCCGACACGCGCATCAACTTGCTGGTCCTTGGCACTATGTGTGGCACCGAGAGGGGGCGGTGCCGCAGGGGCGAGGGCGCGCTGGGCTTCGGCCCCCGCTGATAGGGCGCCGTCCTTGGTGGGCCCTGGGGAGGGGGGGGCGTTACGGCGGGTAGAGCTTCGTACTTACACATATTTACAAATACACAACACACATACATATTTATACAATACATACTACATATATATATATATATATATATATATATATATATACATCTATATCAATTTCCCATATATCCAAAATATCTACTCCCCCCTCCCTCCCAACTCCCCTCCCCCCCCTCCCTCCCTCCCCCCTCCCCCCCCCTCCCCTCCCCCCCCTCCCTCCCTCCCCCCTTCCCCTCCCCCCCCTTCCCTCCCCCCCTCCCCCCTCCCCCTTCCCTCCGACGGCACTCACCGACGGTCGACGACTCAACCGTGACGTTGTTGGGGTCGAGGGTGACGATCGTGATGGTCCTCGGCGGCGACATGGGCGTGATGGGCGTCGCGGGCGCGTTGACGACCATGGGCGTGGAGAGGGTGGAGGAGGAGAGCGTCCGCGGGGGGGCGGGGGGAAGCTCCAGCTCCTCTTCGTCGTCGAGGTCGTGGAGGCCGAGTCTGCGGGCGCGAGGAAGGACTCAGCGAAAGGGGCGTCGGGCGTTGGAGGGGAAGGGGTTAAGGCCCGCCAGGCGACGCCCGCGCGCCCGAATGGATCAGTGGGCGTGGCGGCGGTGGCACTACTACTACTACTAAGGCCAGTAATGTTATAACAGTGACAATAACAGTGATGATA